ATTTTAACCGGACTTAGCACCAACTAAGTACGGTACCAGCTAAGCCGTGTATACGTGTGAACGCAGCTTATATATATTTATATATATATATATATATATACTGCATAGTTTGATACATGTACGGATGCTGAATTTATTTTCGAAAATATCACAATTGTTATGGTTTTGTGATTTATATCATTGGAAATAATTCTGCAAGGGCGGAACAACATTGTGTGGCAACCTTGATAATCATTTCAATACTACACGTGGAAACAGCTGTTTGAATAAGTGAGAGAAAAAACACATGGCCGACTATCGGAAAACGCAGCCAATGCGGACAAATTTGCGAATAGCGTGCGAGTCACAATGCGGGCAGCAGCAGCAGCAGGAAATGTACGCTACGTGAGCACGCAACACGGTTTGCAGTAACACCACAAAGGTTTTTCGTAGTCTGGACAGGTGCTCGAACCGATGCTATCGCGCCGGACAAACCGCCTCAAGGCTGTCTCGTTATCTTCCGTATTTCCCCTACTAACATTACTCTATCACGATTGAACTGAATAACATATAAAAAAGAAGCCCTTCGAATTAGCGGCACAGGTCGAACCTTGGGTTGTGCCGGGCGATGATTAAGCGTAATTATCCTAGTCTATATTGAAATGCATTGATCTTGAATTCGTCGCTACCTAAACGATGGCTGTATCTTTGTTCGGTTGAAGGTGGTTCGCCCCAGGCCCCACCTATACAGTCGTTTTCCTTCACATTGAGTTCCGCAAACACCTTCAACGTGCGAGTTGCATAAAAGCAATTGAGTGTCAAGTGTTGCACACGTCTGTGTGTCGATGTATTTTTGAGGTGCTTTAGTGTACGTTTTGTATTCTAACCTCCAATCATATACGCTAAAGACCCATTTTTGTCCGTAAACAGATAAAGCCGCCACTGCAACACATTGCCTTGCGTCATAAACGGCGGGTGAGGTGAGATTTACAATCACGGAATTTTACACACCAATGTCCTGTAACTCTACCCTCTGGCCCGAAACCTGCAGTATACGCGAAGGTATGCTTGCCTGTCGTGACCTGAAATATGCACATATATGCGCGCTAGTTTAATACCTTATCAAATTCGTAGTCGGTATGGGGTATTACGCACTGCATTTAGTTCTACAGCCATAGGCTAGAGCAGTAGTGCGTGCGTGGTGAGAATGGAATATGCACCGCTACGAAACTGTCGAACGTTGTTAATTCTACTGACATGCACGCATACGAAATTATGATTGATGTTAGTGTGTGACCCAATCCATGTCACCAGTATCGGCCGCATCCGTACCGCGATATATATATATACATAGTATATATATATATATATATTAATATATCTGTATATGTATATATATGTATATATATATATCTATATACTATAGTGTATACTATAATATATATATATATATGTATATATTTCCCCCAACTTCACACCATTTACCTCGCCCCTCATTCTCCGTCCTTCCTTCCCTAATGTCCTTTTTAAATATCGCTTATCGCAATTTAACTGTTCATTCTCTCGACAAAACGTTCACCGCACGTTGGCGGTTGTTTTTGTTAATGCTTCCACCACCACCACTTCCTTGTTGTCGATGCGGATTTTCTGCTCGCAAAGAGGTTCTCAACTGCGCACTAATTTTGAGAAAAGCTTCACGCTTAAAGAAAGGAATATTTATTAACACATATAAATGTTAATGTATTAATTACGCACGAACGTTTAGACGTTTCGCTCGCTGGTGGCATAAAGTTCCGTTGCACTTATATATATATATATATATATAGTATACTATATATATATATATATATATATTAAGAGTGAGAATGAGAGCGAGAACGAGGAAGCGAGAGAGAGAAAGAGTGAGAGCGCAGAGAGAGAGAGAGAGAGAGAGAGAGAGAGAGAGAGAGAGAGAGAGAGAGAGAGAGAGGAAGAGAGAGGGGGAGATTGTGGAAAATTATTATTAAAAATTATATATAAAAATCAAACTTGGTCTTCGTATGAAAAAGTCGTGGAAGTTAGGCGTAAATAAGTAGACGCACGTGACCAAACCATTTTATTTTTTGTTTGGATCGGTGTTCTTGATACGATTTCCTTGTTTACGCCCTAGACGTGACTTTCGTTTCCAGATAGCTCTTATCGTATGAATCTTACCAAAACCGGACCTCTTAGGAAACGAGTTGCACTGAGAACAGTACGTGACATACACTTGATTCTTTCAATTATAGCTACGTCACGATTTTCTCGTTCGATGTACAAAAGCATTAAATGCAAAACGAGATAAACACGTCCTATATTTCGGCTGCGATCGTTGATGAGCCGAATTTGCAAATGCACGCGTCACGGTAGCTCGTGCAGTGTCGAGGCACTCGTGTCTAACAGGCTTTCAACTCCACCGCGGTGTTATATGGGTCAAAAACGAGAGACACAACTACCCGGTAAATGGGTCAGCCCGCAGCGAACACCGTATAAATGGCGAGTATGCGAACTAAAGAGGCAGTAATCTTATTGTAGCTGCACGCAGAGCATAAACTTGCGAGCACCATGAACTTTTGCCGCGGATTCTCGGCGGTGTCCCCTACTCTCATCCTGGTCGCATGTGTTGCATGTGTCGTCAGGGCAAGGCCCCTGGCCACGACAGCCGACGATACGGACGCCATGGTAAGTCTCCTACCGTTATGACTCATTCAGTTATCAGAGTGTGAAGCCGTCTAGCATGGCAACGAACTAGCAGTTGTATTGCGTGCAAATGGTGGCTCGTGCTCACCAGGAAATACGTGCTAATATCTATGTAGTAGTTGTTACCCAGGCTCCTGTGTTTGCAGGAACAACATATATAACCTCGGATTGTTTAGCGTCTAAATTAAGCTGATCGTCGCATGCACTGCTATCGTTTTTTCTCTCTCAGAAAATCACGTTTCTTTTTAAATTACCATTGGAATAAAAAAAAACCTGGGAGATTTTCTATGTGTTTGCGTGCATGCGTGTTCGCCGACTGTTGTTTCGCTGGTTTCGTGGCATCGCGATTAGTAATCACAAGCGTCTGTTAATTATCCATACAGGTTTTCTTTATAGAGGATGTTTCATCTCTTTCAGCATTACCTTATCAAATACGGATATCTTGAACCCGGAGAGGATCACCAGAACCCATTTCTACGCCATATAGCACTATTGTAAGGATAAACCGCGGATAGAGAGAGATCCGTTCTAACTTGCATATAATCAAGAGTTTATAAATAAATATATATAATTATATATTTATTAGCTCTTGATATAATCTCTCTCCCTCCCCTCTCCCCATAAGTCTATTGTATTATAACATAACTGAAATTAGTTCACTAAAATGGTTGAAGTAAAGATATAAATGGGGGCAAAGAACATATAAATGGAGCAAAGAAGCATGCAGTGTTATGTGTGCACCACATAATGTGTGCACACGTGGCGTGGCAGCGAAATACGTAGGCAAGACAGGTAGGCAACGCAGGTAAATAGCAGTGCAGGTATGCGGAAGTGTAGGTGCTTCAGGTGTGTGGTGCAGGTACACAGCATGATAATGATACTTGTATAGACACCGTGGTTGTGGCACAGGTAGCGCGTGTGGCAGTGATATAGGTAGACAGAGTGATAGTGCCACGGGTAGAGCCAGTGGTGGCAATAGCCGGCAAGCAGTTGTAGAACGTGAAAACAAATATTTATAGAGTTACCGCGCCTCTGTATGTTGCTACGTTTCTATTGACACATCTGCCGTTGGTACATGACAAATTTCTTTTCACAGGCAATTTCAGGATTATTTTGGCCTGCCAAAAACGGGTAGAGACGACGATGACACTATGAAGAAGATGGAGGAAGAAAGATGCGATCTCAGAGATCCCGTGTCTAGTACAGCACTGGAGATCTTTGCTAACGTGCTAAATCTACCGACTGCTGGTTTCGATGTTTTATCTGACGTCCCTGGGGAAGGTTAGTCCATTCATCCATCCATCCATCCATCCATCCATCCATCCATCCATCCATCCATCCATCCATCCATCCATCCATCCATCCATCCATCCATCCATCACGCACGCCATCCATAGTCTATCGCATCCATTTAACCATCCTAATCCATAACATCCAATTCATCCATCCTCCGGAGTCCATCCATCCATCCATCCTCCATCCATCCATCCTGCATGCCGATCGCATCCAGTCCGGATCCATCCATCCATCCCAGTCAATCCCATCCATCCCATCGAGCCCAGCCCGAACCCAGCTTGCCAAGCCCCCGGCATCCGCACCGATGCCGAGCAGGCCCTCCCCGCATTTCCACGAAGGCCGGCCGGGGCACGCGTGGGACAGCCGGGCCCTCCATCCAATCCATCCATCGCATCGAACATCCATCCATCCATCCATCCATCCATCCATCCATCCATCCATCCATCCATCCATCCATCTATCCATCCATCCATCCATCCACCCATTCATTCATTCATCTATCTCTCTTTCACACCCTCTCTGTCTCTCGCTTATTAGCCTTTCCTCCATTTTCAATAGCCATATTGCAGGTGTAAACAATTGATGTACCAAGGTTTCCATAAAACTGTCAGAACGAACCTTTTTAATTATTTATTAACTAATAATTACCAATTAAAATCTCATTATTTTATCTTATATATTTTGAACAGAATGATGCGTTTAGCATGCGTTTAAAAAGCACACGTTTGAAATCGTTGATGATTGTAACAGTCGTCATAACTAAATGTTGCAGGACAGCAACGATCCTGGTTCAAGTGCACGCTGCGATGGAAAATTGTGAAGCCTAGCCAAAACCTCAAAGAGTCTGATGTCAGGTAACTTACCGTGCTGGTAGTATGTTACAAACATTATTTTATTTTAATTTATTATTTTTTCTGATTTAATTTATTTTAAAGAATGTGCTCCTTATAGACCAGTAAGCATCATGAACCATATTCTCGCAGGAATATTGTGACACAAGCGATGAAGAAATACGAGGGCGCACTGAATCAGGATCAGAACGAATATACCTTCAGCATCGAGGAAGCGAGAGATCAGGAAGATCCCGACATTAAGGTATATAATGAGATAGATGGGTGGATGGATGGATGGATGGATAAATAGATAAATGGATGGATAAATAGATAAATGGATGGATAGATAGATAGATAAAATGAATGGATAGATAGATAGATAAATGGATTGGTAGATAGATAGATATATGGATAGTTAGATAAATCGATGAATAGATAGATGGATGGATTGATGGATCGATGAATGGGTGGATGGATAGATAGATAGATGGAAGGATGGACGGATGGATGGATGAATGGATGAGTAAATGAGATGTACGTTCGTATAGACAGCCAGATAAACAGACATCTAAATAGTCACTAAAAAGATTTATATTTTTGTCGCCTATAAATTTTTATTCAACCATATCGTTTTATTTCATGTATCTCGTCGAAGCTGAACAATCCAGATATGGTTGATATTTTATTGGCGCTTCATGCTTCCTTACTTCATCCACAGCTCTTATTTGTCACCGGGAATCACGGTGATACGTTCACCTTCAAGAAAAAAGATGGCGTAGCGCATGCATTCTACCCAACAGAGGGCGCCATTCACTTCAACGACGACTCAAACTGGACGATCAAATCTAAAGATGGAATTGATTTCGAACCTGCAGTATACCACCAGATCGGTCACGCATTCGGCATGGAGCATTCGAGAAATACGAGCGCATTAATGAACCCGATTTTCAAACGTGCCGATGTGCCCATCTCCTTAAGTGCTGACGATATCGAAAGAATGAAAAAACTATATCGTAAGTAGTATCGTTACATTGGCGGATCCAGCTTTTTGAAAAAGTCCAGTAAGAAATAAAGGGCACTCTTTCCTGCTTAATTTTTTGAGTGTCTTAAAAAGGTGACGAAGGCAGCTTATGCGACGTGCCTAAGGTACGTTCCCATTTAGGGGGGAGGGGGGGTTGAGGGACCTCCCCCAAATTTTTTTTTTAAATTGGTGCATTCTGAGAGCATCTGAGCAGTAACTTTGATGTCTAGAATGCAAGATGGAATTCCAAATTTTTCGCAGAAAATTATCTATTATGTGTTTTCCATTTTTTTTCTTTTTTGGGGGTAAAAAAATTGGGGGGGGGTATTGTATTGTTGAAAGTGTATTGTTAGTTACCAGGATTATCTGCCATACGATATCACTATCTTGTAGTCAGTTATACTTAATAGGAAAATATTCGCCATCAAATTTAATCAGTACAAATTTAATCTAGCAGGTAGGGGGGCCTATGCAACGATACCTATTTAGCCAGTAAGCCCATCGGTAACTTATAACTGAGGAGCACTGTGTTCTGGCGAAAATAACTCAATATTGTGATGGAAAGCCGATATCACATAATCGCGCGTGTGTCCGTGAGATACCTTGTAGGCTGTAATCATACATTCACTTTTGAAATTTGGGTCAATCGTGCGCGTAATGCAGGCCGTTCGTGCAAGTTTTGTTGCAAAGGTATTTGCGGTAAGAACGGCATAAATAGAAATTCAGACAATAGAAATCACCGAAATTAAAGAATTATAGATATTATAATAGAAATTACGTGTTACCTTAGTGTTATATGAAATCATTGTTTACACGTCGTGTTGTTGTATGGCTTCACCGATTACGTGTTGCACTGGAGCATGTAATTAACGTGTGCGTGTTGCATTACTGTCGCGTTCCATTAGTTAGGTGTTGCGATGTTACGTGGAATCACTATGTTGCAGGTTGTATTGCTGCATATAATATTTCCCATCGCATTTTTCACTCTTGCAGCGCCACGGTTTTGTGAACGGATACACATGGATCGTACGTGAGCGTGCAGCAACAGTCTCCAGCAACATTCTGGCGCGAACGATGCTTACCGTGACCGCGCCACACGTCTTCTTCACTACCCCTCATACGATCGCCCTGTTACGTCACAAGATGGCGTCTAACAACAACATCGACGCGCATCTCAGCACATCTTCAACTTTTCCTCATATGCCCGTAGAATTCCACTGCGACATCTTCGGTGGTGTCACCTGCTTGTTTACGCGCGCAGAGTAATTCAACACATGCGGGCCGGAAATGAACTTAGTCGTCACTTCGTTTGCGACTTTTTAACGGCTAGTACAATGCGATGGTTCGCATGGCACGGATATATAAGTACATAGGTAGAAAAATGTAGATAGTACGTACATTTACGTGACTATATATCCGTGTATTATGTTTAATAAGATTTGCACAACGTAGAACTGTTACGATAGCTACTTGAGCACTTCAGTGTAAAGGCTTCATGATTGTCGTCAAATGAAGAAACGTTTTGCGTGACCTGCGTATCCATTACAAACCCTTTCAAGCTTATTTATGCAAATGAATACGCGTTTTATCGCAATTTAAACAGAGTCTGATCATTTCGTTTGCCAGTGTTTTGTATTTATTTTGTTAAATAGTAAGTTAAATATAAGTTTTTAAATAGCTCTAAACGTAGACAAATGAATGCCATGAAAATGTAATGCTTGTAAATAATGCGTTTGATAAACTGTAAATATTCTGTTTACGTTCTAGTGAACTGTTACATGCCAAGTCTGTGTTTGTAAATATTGCGCACGAATAGATCTACGCGGTGACTTGTTGAAAGCGAGGTACTTTTACGCATATATTGATAAAGTACTACTGATATGGGCCGAATAAAATGCTGAAAAAAAATACAAGAAATTTTATAGCTTTTAATTTTCAATTGCATCTAAATTATATTCATATTTACACCGCTTGTATAAAACGCAAAAAGTGATACAGACATTTAGTAATGACTTAATAACCATGATAACTGATTAAATTTCTCTTCAGTGCTAAATCCATAAACAGATATTCTGTGATGGGTTATCACGAATGTCGCATGTGAGTAAATTTCTACACTGACTTGCTTAAAAAAAGATTTCATACTTTTGCATTTCTAGTCGGGAAGCTGCTCAATTAGTGTTATATAAATAGCGATACAACCCGCGATTTTGACATGTGTGACAATGTGCCGTATTTGCACAGAACGATGCGTAATTATTAGTGAAATATCCAACTGTTCATATATTAATCGTAACTACAACCAAATTTGTTAGTCGCATACAACCTGACCAACGTATCTCACTAGTGACTCACAATACACGTCAGTATATTTTTTATAGTACGGTATATATATATATTCTTGTAGAACACTTAAACGAATTCCAATGAGACTTTTTCAGATTTACGTTTTTAATTCGTCACAAGCATCGCTTCAATTTTTTTAAAAAGAACTCCTCCTCATTCAGACTTATATGTACTCACGGTATATATACGATATATATATATATATATATATATATATATATACATATCGTGGGCCAAGGTGGCAGCACCAGTGTCATCAACCTTGGCATTGACAAAATACGAACTCAAACAATAGCTGCGAATAATGGAAAATTATGCGAGTATCAAGAGCCAGCGACGTGCTGTTGTCTTTCTTTTAAATATGTTATTCTTGAGGCACTGACTTTTACCGGCCTTGTTTCGCTGTTTACGCAGTCTCCCCCTATCTCTCTCTCTCTCTCTCTCTCTCTCTCTCTCTCTCTCTCTCCCCGCCGCGCGCACGCGCGCGGGTCTCTCTCTCTCCCTCTCCGGCTCTCTTCCTCTTTTTGTGTGCCTCTTTCTTCCACCATATCTCTTTTCCACTCACCATCTCTTTTTATCTTTTTTTCAGTCTCTCTTCTTTTCTTTCCTTATCCCGCATTCTCTCTAATTTGTGATTTGTGATCAGCGCGTTCGCGTGTATGTGTGCGCATGCGCGTGTAGTGTGTATAGGTGCGCGCGTGCACGTGTGTACGTTGATGTGTGCGCGTATATATATATTGATAGATATTTATTTCTGCATATATCTGCGTGTGATCGCGTGTGCGTGTGTATGTGCGTGTGCGTGTTCATATGCGTGTGCGTGTATGTGTGCGCGCGTGTGCGTGTGTGTGCGCGCGCGCACGTGTGTGCTTGTGCGCGCGTGTGCGTCGGCATGATTGTGCGTATGCGTGTATGTTTGTTCCCGCGTGCGTCTGTGTTCGTGTGTGTGCGCGCACGTGTGTGTTTATAACTTTATGCGCGCGTGTGCGTGGTCGATCCAAAAATCTGCTATTACTGTTTAACCGTACAAGAAGTTTATGCGATTTATCTTTAAAAAACGACATCTTTAAACAGTTTCAAATGGTCGTGTTCAATAAACTAGACGTGTGACTTCGGCAGGATAATAGATATTTGTTATATTGCTTTACATGCTATGACGTATTTTTTTCTAGCGTTTGTTTTTGCTATTACTGTTGCTATTTCTAGTATTGTTGTGTTTGTTATTGGTGTGTTGCTGTTGACATTGTTGTTAATTATCTGCAGTGGTTTTAATCTCGTCTCGGTGTTAGATTCTGCGCTGTTAGAATAGTCATTGCAACAACTCGCGCCTTTTAATTGTAATGCATAAATAATAAATACATAGATAAATAAATAAACAAATATGTATACATTTTTTTTCATTTATTTATACTTCACAAGTTTACGTGCACATTTGTTGTAGAAATCCTACAAAAATGTCGACGCGTTTGCAATAAAAAAGGAAAATGACTAATTTTCCTAAGCGTCGACGGTAAATGTTTTAAATTTTAAATGACAATATTGTCAACTAAATAGACACTCTTTCGCGATTCATCCAGACTAGCCGATTGTCACATTATATCTACATACTCCGCCGTGTATGTATTCTTCAAATATCTATTATTAAGGTGAGAAATAAAAACTATTAATTTAAATAACAAAGTCGCTGCCAGGAAAATGTCACGAAGACCTTATATTGCGTGCTGCGGTGTTTCATAAATAAATATGAATAATTCTTTAATTACAAATGAATAAATTAAGTAGAATCGTATACTACTTATATTAAATATAAACACTATATGCGTATTTACAAGCAGCTAAAGGATAATGAGTATCAATGCTGTATTGCCTGGCCCCGTGAACTCCACGGAAAAAATATCAGCATATAACACTCGCAATAAAATCGTTTACAATATAATACGTGTGTGAAGTTACATTACATAAATACGCTAAAGCACTACTCATGAACTGTACACATTGTCGCAGATAATACATCGCACAACCGCTTGAACACAACCTAGCATAATTAGATGACAAGCTATGCCCCTGGCAACCAGCACAGCGGGCCTCTGTGTCTGCACTAGGCCTAGCTCTAGTACTATAGCCCTTCGCTCCGCCGCAGGAAGCGCCACAGGAAGAGCGAAGGGCTATAGTACTAGAGCTACACTAGGGCCTGCTATACTATAGGACTATAGCTGTGCCATAGACGTGCATATACGCAGGCCAACCAAGATATATAGACCTAGCTATACCAGATACGTATACCAACGATACCACGATATACCAATACGTACCAAGATACCAAGACACCAATACCAGTACCAAGATACCAAGACACCAATACCAGTACCAAGATACCAAGACACCAATAGTATACCAAGATATATAGAGGTAGCTATACGCAGGCTAACGATTGCTGCGTGCTCGGTGATTTGCCCTAGCTACTATCAATGACCCCGAATGTCAAAACGATCGAACGCGATGGCGTGCATTTGCAGCGACGATGCTTAGCAGCGACGGGTGGACGTTGACGATGCTTAGCGGCGACGGCGTGGACGCTTGATGATGCTTGAGCGGCGACGGGTGACGTGACGATGCTTAGCGGCGACGGGATGGGCACGTTGCGATGCTTAGCGGCGACGGGTGGACGTTGACGATGCTTAGCGGCGACGGGTGGACGTTGACGATGCTTAGCGGCGACGGGTGGACGTTGACGATGCTTAGCGGCGACGGGTTAAGACTGACGAATGCTTAGCGGGCGACGGGGGACGTTGACATACTTAGCGGCCGACGGGTGAACGTTGACGATGCCTTATCGGTGACCGCGCGACGTTGACGATTCTTTTGATGTTGAAGTTAACGCTGACGATAGGATGCCACCGGAAAACAGGTGCGTGCTACAGCTCTATTGCTATAAAATAAAAACGTATTGCGATATAATTAAAACTCATACAATTCACGCACACGCGCCATTCGCACTATAGGAAAAACCATACTAATTTAACACTG